GAAACATAAATTCATTAATGGTAGCGTGCCCAAGTGGTTTAAACCATTTTTGGAAAATCGAGAAAAGGCAATTATTGCATTAAAAGACGAGCCGTTTTCCCTGAGAAAGGAAAAGGCAACCGTCGCATTAACTACAAAAGTTTCTAAGGCCCAAGCCTGACAAGTTTACCGAGTTGACTAAACCCGAAGTGGGGAACTCGCTTTAAGCCGAGCTCAGCTCTCGCATTCTAAAGAGAAAGGTCTGATCAGCCTAAAAATCTCGAAAGCATTGCCACAAGGCCACAAAAGGTTGAAAGCGGACTTTGCAAACCCGCATTTAATTTTAACCAAACCCCCTTGGGTCACAACCTAGAAAGGTTTAAAAGCCTCCTCAGGCAAATATCTTGTTCAAAAGAAAATAATAATAAAGCCTCCTTAGGCAAAAACAAGTGTGAAATTAAGTCTTAAAAATAAAGGGACAATCCCCAATTTAAAGTGGACACAGCCACTACGGAGCAGCAGCCACCTCGGAGTCCGGCTCAACAGTCGAAACTTCATTCACGTCCTTGGCAGCTGCTTGATCAGATGAAGCTTCCTGACCACCCTCCACGGTACAACCAACCTCCGGAGTGACCTCCGACACCATAGGAGCTACGGGCGGGACAACGTCCTCCGCCCCACTTGAGCCTAGGAATAATAACTCCAGTCAATCAAAGGTGCAAGAAAAGGAAAGGTAATAAATGTCAGGAGCCAAGCATTACCTGCCCAGTCTAAACCTGATTCGCTTATAGGAGGCGATTCGGTGAAGAATTCCTCGAAGTCCTGAGGGTTGAAGGTCGAAGTAGGAAGAGCTGCCAAGCGACTCCGCTTTTCAGAAAGATTAGCCGATAGTTCGGTTCTCTCTTGATCCTCGGAGAAATCTGCATCATGGATTTGATCCAGCAGGATCAGGTTGCTCTCATGCTCCTTGATGTCAGATTCCAAGTCAGACCTAGCCTTCTCAGTCTGCATGAATCGGATGGCCCCTTGGATCAACTCCATCCCGCGTCCCTTGACCTCTTTTCTGGCTTTTGATGCCGACCTCGCCAACTCGGAGTCACGCAATTTGGCGATCGCCTTGTATTTCGCGTTGAGCTCGATGAGTTGGTTGTTCAGGGAATCAGCGTTTGATTCGGACTCTTGAAGCCTACCTTGAATACCAGAAAACTCTTCCTGGAGTTTGAAGTTCTGGTCGTACTGACCCTGCAGCTCCCCCTTTATCTGCGCAAGCTCAGATGTTAAATTGTCGACTTTGTCCTCCAGATCATGCTTGGAGCCGGCAGAAGAACTGAGTTCGGCCTCAAGGGCGGAGAGTTTCTTTGTCAACATGTCAATCTCCTTCTCCCGGCCAATGACCAACCCTTCGTAATGTTCGATCATGTCGTTAAATTCGCTTTGAGCCTGGTGTTATACATGAACCCGGGATGACGAGTCAGTTCGCAGAATGGCAATACAATAAAAAAATATATACATAAAAGAAAGCGGGACTAACCCGAGATGAGTGATGCGCGTGAAGCAAATAACGTTCACGAATCGCAGGGCGCCATTTGTTGAAATCTGGCAAGATCGAACCCGAACGGGTCTTGAAGCATCGGAAGACGCTGCCTTCTGTCTCCATAGCTGCGAAGAAGGAAGAATTGTAAAAATTGGAATTTTAATAAAGACAAAAGTTTAAGTGTGTGTAAATCACCAAACCTGAAAGCGATTTGACTTGAGGTACAAGAGCAGGCTTCAGCCTCGAGGAAGCATCTCGAGATTCAGAATCTCCTTTTTTCGGAGACGCGCTCCGGGCGGTCTTTCCACTATCAGGCTGGGAAGAGGAGGACATGTCAACCGGTCGTGGAGGACCCATTGGTTCAGAAGGAGGGGATGACCGAGGTGAGCGGTCAGTCCGGGCCCTTGACTTTTCCCTCTGCGGGGAAAGATCACTGCGGGAGGACTTGTCTCTCTTTCGGCGAACCAAGTTCTTAATTGGCTCGTTACTAAAATCATCTCGGGAAGGACGAGGTGAATCACGGCGAGGAGATCGATCCCTCCGAGGAGAACGTGAGTCGCGACGATCGCGACGAGGAGTTAATCTGAAGGAAGCGACAGATCGAGCTCCCTCAGTGCTGCCATCATCAACCAGCAAGGTTCTACTGTAGTCCTTCTTGTCTATAGAAGTCGCGAGAAACTTTTTCTTCTCCTCGCAAGCCTCAGCCATCGGCTTGGAGAGCAACTTGCGCTTGGCCGCAAGGGCCCGAGATGACATTCCCTGAGTTGAGGGAGGGGGAGGAATTTGGTGAAGATGACCAGGCGGACTCATCCTGAGTCTGTGGTTAGCTTCCAAGAATCGTTCAAGAGTGAAGGAATTCCAAAGGGTTTCCCCTTCAAGAATTATTTTGAAGAATTCGATGAACTCTTCGGATGGGAGGTTGGAAGCGATGAAAGCTGCGAAATGAAACAACGGTGTTAGTCAATAAAGATAAAGAAACAAACCAAGAAGGATACGGGCAACCTAATCACTACCGGGTTTCGTAGACCACTTCGAAGGGAGAAAATCAGCGAGATTTCCAATCGAAGCGGGGGTTTTCTTAATTAGAAACCAAGGATGATGCCAATTTTCATCCTTGTTCGGAAGATGTGAAATGATGTTCCTGTTGGCATTGGGATATGCTGAGAAATATCCCGTTTTCTTTGATGAACTTCTCACGCTCAGAAGCTCGTTAAGTTCAGCAACTCCGATAACATAACCGGCCTCCGCCGCGACTGTTATAATTCCAAGAATAGTACGGAGAAGATTGGGGGTTAATTGAGGAAGAGCGATTTCAAGAGCCGCTAGGTATAAAATTAGGGCTTCGGGAAGAGGAAAGGTCAGCCCGCAACCCTTGAAATAAATCTCATACACACAGAAGAAACCATCGCGATGGTTCTCTGGAGATTCTGTGGGAGAAGCTATTTGTGCTTCCGCCATAATTTCCGGCGGAATCCGGCAAAGCTCTCTCAATCGCTCGAGGGATTGAAGAGTACAAGTGGACCTATAGTGCGGACCGGCAATGTCACCAGGGCGGGTGCACTCGTCGTTACTAGAACGCCTCTCGTCAAAAGATGGAGACTCGGGTCTATCGGAATCAGAAGTCATTGGGAAGAAAGAAAAATTCAAGATCCGGCGAAGAAAGGTTTTGGTGAAGGAACGAAGAGAGAGGTTTTGATTAAAGTACAAAAGTAAAAGAAGAGAGTAATGATGAAAAGAAGTTACCTCAAGCTAATGATGAAACCGCCTCGGAAGTCGTGTGGGAAGTGGGAAGGTTTTTCCCGTTTTAATAGTAATTAATCAATATACGGTCATAATGATGACAGATGTCACTCGGTTAAAAATGGATAGTGCCAAAATTAAAGGAGTGATGGGATTTTCGGCGGGAAATCAGAAAGATTCTCGAGCGCAATCTTTGGCCACTTGAGCATTTAAAGTCCTCCGAACTGGAATAGCACTTCGAAGAACTTGGGGGGCTAATTGTTGGTGTCGGATCCCGCACCAGAAGTACGAGACCAACCAAAGATTGCCGCGTGATCAAGATAATGGCCCATAAAGGATGAAGCCCATTGGACCCGCGAGCCAAAGGGACGGTCGAAGTGGTTGTCGCCATTTCGAGAATCCGAAGTGACTACACTGTGACACGAGTTCGCTGTAAAGGACACGGGTAAGACGGTTCACGGACACTTGGGCCGAAAGAGGCGAGGCCCATAAAGATCAGAGTCAACTCAAATTCAAACGTTAAGCATTAAAGCCGAAGAATCAAAACGGACACATTTAAGAAGAAATAATTGTGTTTAATTACTCATTTTAATGTCGTTTATCGGTGTATAAATATAGAGGCCGATGGCCATGTAAAGGGGATCTTGCTAAAAAAAGAGAGAAATATAGAGCAATTCTCGTATCAATTTACAAGTTCTTACGTATTCATTTTTGTCCCTCAAGAATAATCTTTCCCACTTAACAAAATACTTGATTGTGTGAATCCGACATCCACAAATCACACACTCTTTCAGTGCCATCCTGCAAGACAGGTTTGGGCACTTTCTCAGATTCCTACGGTTATGGGAACTTTTCCCACAGATTCTATTTTTGCAAACTTGGATCATTTATTTTGGAGAATACCATCGGAGTTTGATTCTATAGCTTTTCCTTGGATTATTTGGTATATTTGGAAAGCACGGAATGAAAAATTGTTTGAAAATGTGGATAACGATCCGTTAGAGGTTTTACGGTTAGCGGAAAGAGAGGCACAATTGTGGCACTCAGCTCAAGTGGAGCTTCATACTGAAACTCAGGCTTCAGTGGAATTTCCAAATCGGCCTCAAACGAGGGGGGTGTCCCTAGATTCGGATTTTACAGGATTCCGTTGTTTTGTGGATGGATCCTGGAAAGACAGCGACAAGTTTTCCGGGATAGGGTGGTTTTGTACACCATCAAACGGTGAGCCATCAACAATGGGAGCTGCCAACCTCCGTAGAAGCCTATCTCCGCTACATGCCGAATTCGAGGCCCTCCTTTGGGCGATGAAGTGTATGATTGGTGCAGATAATCAAGAGGTAGCATTCCTTACAGACTGTTCTGACCTGGTGAAGATGGTGTCTTCCCCAACCGAATGGCCGGCTTTCTCAGTGTATCTGGAGGAATTTCAGAGCGACAAGGAAGAGTTCTCTACTTTCTCTTTATCTTTAATTTCTCGTTGTGCAAATGCAAAAGCGGATAATCTGGCACGAAAAATTCGTACGGAATCGCTTCATATCACTTATGTAAACAACATTCCACAAGAATGGCTCTTTTGAGTACTATTTAATTACAGATGACAAAAAAAAAAAAATAACACCGACTCCACTTCTTACTCTCTTTGTCTCATATGTCAACTAGCATATAATTAAGTTGTTTGTTTGATTTTTCAAACTTCTTTAATATGAAAAAATTAAGTTATGCTGACAAAATAATTTTGAATCTGCAGGTCTTTGAATTATCTATAGGTGCTGCGTGCAGACTAACGTGGCCATCGGACCGCCTAATCGTTCAAGTTTTAGATGATTCTACCGATCCAGCCATCATGGTCCGTTCTTAATAAACTCTTCATGGACAGAGTTCGCTAGCTAATAAAACTTTTTAAAATAATAAACATACCAATGACATATATGACTTATGCCATTGTTAATCATTATTGAGTTAAATTTCAGGAACTGGTGAGCATGGAATGTGCAAAATGGGCATCAAAAGGCATTAACATAAAGTATGAGAGGCGAGACAACAGAAATGGCTACAAGGCTGGAGCTCTTAAGCACGGCATGAGACACAGCTACGTCAAGCACTGCAACTATTTGGCCATCTTTGATGCTGATTTCCAGTCCGAGTCAGACTACCTCCAACGCTCTATCCCCTTTCTTATCCACAACCCTGAGGTCGCTCTAGTTCAAGCTCGATGGAGATTTGGTATGTACATCTATATAACAACAACATAAAAACTTCTAGGTATTTTAAACATGTCTAGTAATATAATTCATTTTAGGAATTATAGGTTTCCAACAACAACTCGATTAGTAATAAATAGAGAAGTTCATGGCCTTTATTTAAAATGTTAGATATAACTCCGTTTTCAAAGTGTAACATTCTAAAAAAAGCTGACAGTGAAAGATCAAAATGGTAAATAATCAACTAATCAAGTATATATAATATCATTGGTTAAAAATATGCTCCTTGCATATATTAATTAGTTTTGAGATAAAAACTTAATGTGAATGTGGTTCATGATATATATGAATATGATTCGGTCATGCAGTGAACGCGAACACATGCTTAGTGACGAGGATGCAAGAGATGTCTCTCAACTACCATTTCATGGCAGAGCAACAATCTGGATCCACAAGACATGCTTTCTTTGGCTTTAATGGTATATAAAACATTACATTAATTAATAAAAGATTCAAACATTTCATATAATGGGATTTATATATATGCAGGAACTGCGGGAGTATGGAGAATGGCGGCGATGGAAGAAGCTGGAGGATGGAAGGACCGGACGACGGTAGAGGACATGGACTTGGCCGTTCGTGTTGGTCTTCTTGGTTGGAAATTTATCTTCGTCAATGACCTCGAGGTAATTTATTCCCTTTCTGTAAATTTGTAATTTATATGGCTAGAATGTTTCTGGAAGATTAAATACTGTTTTAAACTCAATTTTGTTGTTGCATAAGTTAACATATAATAAACAAATTAGTTTCAATTTTCTAGTGTTTCTTTTTTGGTAAAATGTAAAAGCAATTAGGCTATTCACAACTATATAGTGTATGCATTTCGTGTGGCTTTCTAAATAAGAATGCTTATAATCATTGTAAAACAAAAATTAATTGTGGTTGTAGGTGAAAAGCGAGCTACCAAGCCAATTTAAGGCCTTTAGATTCTAGCAACATCGGTGGTCTTGTGGTCCAGCCAATCTTTTTCGGAAAATGACGATGGAAATTATTCACAATAAGGTCTTTTACCATTTACTTTATTTCATTTTCAGACACACATTTCCCACGTGCCAACTACATTTTTGTTGGCTCATCCTTAGCGACAATTTGAAAAGGGGCAAGTTTCTAACCATTGCCAACCAAACAAAAACACATACCTAAAAGGGGACAACGACATTTTTTTGGCTCATTTACCAATGACTACCTTGATAAAATCTTCTGAATTACCATCTACCTAATTATCTCATATTATACTTTTTTGAGCTAATCTTGATAAAATCTTATGAATTCAGGTTGGTTGAACCAAAGTGGAACCCAACATTGAAATTTTCTTTTATTTCTAAACTCAAATAAGAGGTGTATGATAGAGTAACCATAAACTAATTAAAAACTTATGATAAGCAGAAAGTGAAGATTTGGAAGAAGTTTTACGTGATCTACAGCTTCTTTTTCCTACGGAAGATCATAGTCCACTTCTTCACTTTCTTCTTTTACTGTGTCATCCTTCCTACAAGTGTCTTCCTTCCCGAAGTCAAAATTCCGAACTGGTCGACTATATACGTTCCTTCTATCATCACCCTCTTCAGTGCCATCGCCACTCCAAGGTTAGTACTATATATCCTATAACGACCACATTTATGCACTCTATATATTACCTCAATTACATTTTTACTATGAATTATTGGTAGATCATTCTACCTCGTGGTTTTTTGGATCTTATTTGAAAATGTAATGGATATGCACCGGACCAAGGGAACTTTGATTGGCTTATTTGAAGGAGGAAGAGTCAATGAATGGGTTGTCACAGAGAAATTAGGAGATACTCTTAACACTAAGCTACTTCCCCGGAATGGGCGACTTCTGAAAAGGTATATTAACCAAAACGAAAGAAAGAAAATCAAAAAATTTGAAAAGAAAGAATATCAATTAATTAACATAAATTTTGACGTAATCCAGACTTAGGAGACTCAAACTAGTTAATAGCATTTGTTATTTGTTAAATTTTTATTTCTTAAAATGATATTTTTGTTGAATAAATTTAATATTCATTCAAAAAGAAATATACGTACGTAATGTAGTGATTTATTCGCATTAGACTAGCAAAACTCCTTTTTTGTGTGTAAAAAGGTTAGAATGAAGAATAAATAAAACAATATTTATGGATACTAATGAGTGAAAGAAAATGTTTTGTTGCAGAGTAAATTTGAAGGAGATGATGATGGGTATATACATATTATGTTGTGCCTGCTACGACTTTGCCTTTGGGAACACATATTTATATTTGTATCTCTTCATGCAAGCCACTGCTTTTCTCATCTCCGGAATTGGCTTTGTTGGAACTTAACACGACTCATATGAAAATCTTCTACTTTGTAATCAAGTATATGTGCAATAACCATTCTCATGTTGATAAAATTGTGAATCCATTTTTTTAGCATGATGTAATTTGATATGTATAATTAAGTGCTTTTGTCCAAATACATTATTTCTTAGTTCAGATATTATTGTCCATATATATCTATAAAGAGATTTCTGATTCAGTCTATGATGTTATGGGTAGGTTGGTTGAAGAATATTAATTTTCTTTCAAGAACATAATTGAGAGTTTCCCATCATCTCAGGTTGGGACATTATCTCAGACAGAGCAAAACCAAGTTGATTCGAACGCATTATTTTGTATTTTCTTCATTCATCTAATAATTAAACGGATATTTATTGTTGGAAGTAAGCTTGAAGGTTAAGTAACTTGAAGAGCAAGTTACTTAAAAGGAAAAAGGAAATTAAGCTTTATTATTCTAGGAGTTATCTAGAATAATTGTATTAGGAGTTATCTAATACAAATCCTAGTTGTATTAGGATTAGGTCAAAGCTTTTATTATATAAGGATGTATCTAGGTTGTGATACAACTTATGAGTTTGAGAACTTTAGGTTTTGAGGGATTTTCCTAAAGAAATAATAAGAGAGTTATTCTTAAGATTGTGTGTTCTTATTCTCATACCTATTCTAGATTTGGTATCAGAGCTTGAAGATCAAAGATGGCGGAACTCGCCGTGACGACGGGAACGCCAAAGGAAGGAGGAAGCTCTTCTTCTATCAAATGTCCTATGCTCAACTCAACAAACTATACGGTATGGGCCATGGGGATGAGGATTTGTCTCAGAGTTCATAAGGTTTGGGATACCATAGAAGAAGGATCAACTGACGCTGAGAAGAATGATATGGCAACAACACTCTTGTTTCAATCAATACCCGAGGCTTTGGTTTTACAAGTTGGTGAATTAAACACTGCTAAGAAGGTGTGGGACAAAATCAAAGAAAGGCACATGGGTGCAGAGAGGGTTAAAGAGGCGAGATTGTAAACCCTAATGAATGAGTTTGATCGTTTGAAGATGAAAGAAACTGAAACCATCGATACCTTTGCAGGAAGGCTATCTGAAATAGCATCAAAGTCCGGAGCCCTAGGAGTTAACATTGAAGGCTCAAAGCTTGTTAAGAAATTTTTTAAAAGTCTTCCTCGTAAGAAATATATACACATAGTGGCGTCTCTTGAACAAGTCTTAGATCTTAAGGCTACAACTTTTGAAGACATTGTTGGACGACTCAAAGTATATGAAGAACGTGTCTTTGAGGAAGAAGAAGAAACTCAGGAAGATCATAACAAGTTGTTGTATGCAAACAATGAGTCCCAACAAGGAGGGTACAATCGAGACTACAATAGTGATTTCAGAAACAGAGGACGTGGTGGCCGATTTTACCCTAGAGGCAGAGGTCGTGGAAGATATAATGAAGCTAAAGATACATCCAAAATCACTTGTTATCGATGTGATAAAACAGGTCATTACGCCTCTAATTACCCGGATCGTTTACTTAAGCTACAAGAAACTCAAGAAACAAACACCAATGAGACTCAACACGCAGATGAACTGTTAATGCATGAAGTGGTGTTTTTAAATGAGAAGAACTGTATGCCAAGTAAATTTGAAACAAATACTGAAGAGGGTAACATCTGGTACCTTGACAATGGCGCTAGCAACCACATGACAGGAGATCGCCGATACTTTACAAAGATTGATGATTCAATTACCGGGAAAGTTCGTTTTGGTGATGACTCAAGAATTGATATACAGGGAAAAGGATCAATATCCTTTTTGGACAGAAACGGTGATTCAAGAATCATATCAAATGTTTACTACATTCCGGACTTAAAAGAGCAATATCATCAGTCTTGGTCAAGCAACAGAATCCGGCTGCGATATAAGAATGAAAGGAGACATTCTAACTATGCATGATCAAGAGGGAAAATTAATTGTCAAGGCTAGCAGATCTCAAAATCGGTTATACAAGGTTTGCATGAACTTGAAAGAGACTGCACGTCTATATCTCACAACAATGAGTAAATCAAGTAAATGGCATTCAAGACTGGGACATGTTAACCTTGAGACAATAAGGAACATGATACAAAAGGAATTGGTCGAAGGAATTCCAAAAATACACATTGAGAAGGAGACTTGCGGCTCATGTCTACTCGGGAAACAGACACGACAAGTGGTTCCGCAGTCAACATCTTTCAGAGCAAGCAAGAGGCTTGAGCTCATACATGGAGATCTCTGCGGACCTATAACACCAAGTACAATGGCAGGTAATAGGTATGTTTTTGTTCTCATTGATGATCACTCTAGATATATGTGGACTGTTTTGTTGAAAGAAAAAAGTGAAGCTTTTAGCAAGTTCAGAAAATTCAAAATCATGGCAGAAGAAGAATCGGGTGAGAAGATACAAGTCTTTAGAACTGACAGAGGTGGTGAGTTTATATCACAAGAATTCAACTCGTTTTGTGAAGAATCTGGTATAATAAGGCATCTCACTGCTCCTTATACTCCTCAACAAAACGGAGTTGTTGAAAGGCGTAATAGAACCTTATTGGAAATGGCGAGGAGTATCATGAAGCACATGCATGTACCAAATTATCTATGGGGCGAAGCAATAAGACATTCCACATATCTTCTTAATCGAGTTGCTACAAGAACAGTTAAGGATAAGACTCCATATGAAGGCTTTAAACTCCGAAAACCAAACATTGAACATCTGCGAGTCTTTGGATGCATCGGGTATGCAAAAGTTGAAACACCACATCTAAGAAAACTGGATGATAGATCACACATTCTTGTCCATCTAGGGACTGAACCAGGCTCTAAGGCATATCGCCTATTGGATCCACAAAGTCGTCGGATTGTGGTAAGCAGAGATGTTGTTTTCGACGAAACCAAAGGATGGAACTGGAGTGTTAACAACTTTGAGAAGCAACATGATGAAATCTTCACAGTTACTCTTGGAAATTTCGGGAATCATGGTATTCAAGGCACAGAGGATAATGGCGGAACAGAGGAGGTAGGTGAAACAGAGCAGAATGTGACAAGCTCAGATGATGACGGGTCCGTATCTGAAACTTCTGTTGATCATGAAACAGAAGACACACATGTTCAAACTCCACCAGTTTTACGACGAACAGAGAGAGTAATCACTAAACCCAAGTATCTTGAAGATTACGTTTTGATGGCTGAAGAAGAAGGTGAAGTTTTGCTTTTGTGTTTAAATAATGAGCCAAGGAGTTTTTACGAAGCAAAATTTTCTAAAGAGTGGATGTGTGCTTGTGAAGAAGAAATTGGTTCTATTGAAAAGCTTAAGACATGGAACCTTGTTGACTTACCAATAGGAGCAAAACCAATTCGTTTAAAATGGGTGTTCAAGCTCAAGAAGAATTCTGATGGGAGTATAAACAAGTATAAGGCTAGACTCGTTGCTAAAGGGTACGTACAACAATATGGGGTAGACTTTGAAGAAGTATTTGCTCCTGTAGCACGAATCGAAACGATTAGAGTTCTCATTGAGCTTGCAGCCTCTCATGGATGGGAAATACACCACTTAGACGTCAAGACAGCTTTCTTACACGGAGAACTTAAGGATACAGTCTATGTGTGTCAACCGGAAGGTTTTGAGAAAAAGGGAAGTGAAAATAAGGTATACAAGCTCAACAAAGCACTCTATGGGTTAAGGCAGTCTCCAAGAGCATGGAATAACAAACTGAATCACATCCTTTGCGAACTACAATTTAAGAAATGCTCTAAGGAGCCATCCGTGTATCGAAAGGAGACTAAAGAACATCTTCTGGTCATAGCTGTGTACGTCGATGACCTATTTGTTACAGGAACAAGTCTTGAAGTCATTAAAGAGTTTAAAGAGGAGATGTCTTCTAAGTTTGAGATGAGTGATTTAGGGAAACTAACCTATTACCTTGGAATCGAAGTCATTCAACATAATGGAGGAATAGCTTTGAATCAAAATAGGTACGCTCTCAAAATTCTTGAAGAATCTGGTATGAAAGATTGTAATCCAGTTCGTACGCCTATGGAAACCGGTCTTAAAGCATCCAAGTCAGAACATGAAAAGGAAGTTGATGCAACAGTTTATAGAAAGAATGTGGGTTGTCTCAGGTACCTTCTTCATACAAGACCAGACTTATCATATTGTGTTGGAATTCTAAGTAGATACATGAAAAGTCCAAGAGAGTCACATGCCGTGGCAATGAAGCAGTGCTTGAGATACTTAAAGGGAATAACCTCTCTTGGACTAACGTTTAAACGGAGCAAGGAGGAGCCAAGGCTAATAGGCTATAGTGATAGCAGCCACAACGTTGATCCGGATGACGGTAAGAGTACAATGGGTCATATTTTCAATCTTGGTGAGAGTCCCATATCGTGGTGTTCGCAGAAACAAGACGTTGTAGCATTATCATCTTGTGAGGCAGAATTCATGGCAGGAACTGAGGCCGCAAAGCAAGCCATTTGGCTCCAAGATTTGCTAAGTGAAATCACCGGGACAGCTTGTGAAAAGGTTACCATATTGATCGATAACCAGTCAGCCATTGCCTTGACAAAAAACCCGGTATTCCATGGGAGAAGTAAGCATATACATAGGAGATACCATTTCATAAGGGAGTGTGTCGAGAATGGGCAAATAGAAGTGGTACATGTTCCGGGAGACGAGCAAAAGGCGGATATTCTAACTAAGGCACTTGGGAGAGTCAAGTTTAAAGAAATGAGGGAGCTTCTTGGAGTTCAAGATATTGTGAAAGAAGACTTCAAGCTTAAGGAGGAGAATGTTGGAAGTAAGCTTGAAGGTTAAGTAACTTGAAGAGCAAGTTACTAAAAAGGAAAAAGGAAATTAAGCTTTATTATTCTAGGAGTTATATATAATTGTATTAGGAGTTATCTAATACAAATCATAGTTGTATTAGGATTAGGTCAAAGCTTTTATTATATAAGGATGTATCTAGGTTGTGATACAACTTATGAGTTTGAGAACTTTAGGTTTTGAGGGATTTTCCTAAAGAAATAATAAGAGAGTTATTCTTAAGATTGTGTGTTCTTATTCTCATACCTATTCT